AAGTAGACGCTAATCGCCAAGATTGAGAAGTAACACGTAATGTAATTACGAGATACTTTTTTCGGTAACAATTCAATAATGATGTTCTTTTTCTTCTCATTAGTAACGATAATAGTTACATAGTTAAATTTTTTGTATTTGTGTTTTGTAATTATAACAAATATAATCATTACTTTTACCGTTACTTTATGTATATAGAATGTATATATATTGAATAAGTAAAAGCAAATCCTAAAAAAAAATTCTTCTAAACTTGATGAAAAAAATAACAAAAATTCTGGGAATACAGATTACTCTCGGATTGAAGCTGCGTTTCTCATGAGTTTGTTTCCAATCCATTCTGCGAATGTTTCAGTTCACTTCATCAATCTCAAATATAAAAAAAAAATAAAACTATAATGCTTCGTTACTTCTTAGGTAACGATAAGTTACTTTTTTAACGAGTTACTTTCCAAGGGCAACTTTTCCAATCCTGCTAATCACAAAACCTGTAGCAATTCGTCCAGTTCATCCCATTCCATAGTTTTGACATCCAGTTTCATAGGCAGAGTGAGACTTTTTAGGTGATCAGGAGAGGTTGGAATGGACTTCGCATTATTCTCCATATTGCTGTCTGATGGATTCTTAGATAGTTCGTCTATTTTATCCTCGTCTTCGATATCCTGTTGCAATTATAAGTAATGAATATATTTTCTAATGCATTTCCAATATAATATGCCGAATAAAATGAATCCAACAAACCTCAGAAACACTGTGCCTACATGAATTTCTGTTTCGCGCTGTAACTACTGTACGTTGATCGTCATCTTCTTTCAGATGAATCACTCCACGAACTCCCCAATATATTCTTAATGCACCTTCCAATATCAATCTTCCATTGACCTATTTTAAATCGTTATTTATATAATAGTATCAATCTGAATTTTACAATATAAAAATTATTTAATGAAAGTGTATATTTTTAGGTATATTTTTACCTCACGACTTCGAATTCCTCCACTTTTGCCTTCATAATACTGATTAAAAACTTTCAGCTTTGATTCCAAGTGGGATCTAAGAGTAAAGACAAAAGTAAAAACATTCGTCTTTTCTAAAGAAAACATTTAGACTATTTTAGATATTGTATCATAGAATATCAGAATTTTTTGTAAACTTTATGATTGTGCCAGCTTTATGGTAGTGATAAAAAAAATATATATGTATATACAGGGTGTTAGTTAAGTATGTTGCCATACTCAACAGAGCGATTCTTTGATTTATTTCAAGTAAAAAAGTTCAACATGTGTCCTAAACAGCTTAGTTTCCGAAATAAAAAAATTTAAACGTGTAATAATAATCTGTTTCGTTTATGCGTCGTCTACAATGACAGTAGGAATAAGTAAGTAAGAAAGGACAGTTAGGCGACAGTTTCCCGAAAAGTGGAGGGGATAATGTTGGTACCAAAGAAAATCTCTACACGATATAATTTAAAGATTTTGTTCTTTGTAACTGCACTGCTAAATTGGTGCAATAAATTGAAATGAGGCAAGTATACGTTTTCTCACTCTAATCTTTTGCATTGGTTCAGCAGTGCAGTTACAAAAAACAGATCTTTAAATTATATCGTATAGAGATTTCTTTTGGTACCAACATTATCCCCTCCACTTTTCGGGAAACTGTCGCCTAATCAGAAAGGACAGTAGTAAGAAATGAGCAGTAAGCAAATTGACCAATTCCATTCTCACGATTCAAGAATAATCGATTGTGATTGGTCCATTTACTTACTGCTTATTTATTACTACTACTCCTACTGCCATTATAGACGATGCATTAGAACAGCTTCCTTTAGTACTGGTGTTCTGTCATAGACTTTCCAAGATCAACAGTGTTCCTTACAAAAGAACCCTTTTCTCGAAGATAGCGGTGAATATTCGCAAATATTTTACGACATGGTAAATTGGAATATCTTTCTGAATAAATACGCCTTGCCTCACGTGAGTTACCATTTGCAAGACCGTAGGTAAAGTGCATATCTGCCATTTCAAAATTTGTAAACTTAGGCATGATGAAACGGATTTTGATGGACTAAAACAATTTGGCCCGAAAACGTATGCACAAGCTAACCGACCCGCAGCAACATCAGAACTGAAGTCTATTTTTTATTTTATGACTTTGACTTTGTCATTTTGTTTACGACCATGCGAATGGTAACTCACGTGAAGTAAAGCATATTTATGCAGGAAGATATCTCCAACGTAATTTACCGTTTCATCAAACATTTGCGAACATTCACCTGTATTTCGGAAACTAAGCCGTTTAGAACACATGTTTATATGAACTTTTTTACTTGAAATAAACCAAAGAATCGCTCTGTCGAGTATGGCAATATACTTAACTAACATCCTGTATATGTATACACACAGAGTGTCAATAAATTCCGGGACAGCAAAATATCTCGAAAACTAAACATTTTAGGCTAAAGTATTTCAGATAAAAGTTACAGGGTTTCAAAAAATCTATTTATTGATATTTTTAGTTTGATCTTGGGCGGGGTCGCCAAGGTCAGGACAAGGTTACCTTGAATTTTTTAAATGGAATCCCATATTTTTTATTGCATATTCTTGTAGTTTATCTCAAGAGCTTTTCGAAACACTATAATAACGTATTTTTTCATTAAAAACTTTTTGAATAATAAAACTTGAAAGTTATAGTACTGTCAGCATTAGCATTACCCAAGGTGTACGACGCGAAGTTTCCTCGATCGGATTTACACCTCTTTCGTGTATATGTGTGTGTGTGTGTGTGTGTGTATGTGTATGCGGGCGTGCGTCCGTGTGTGTGATGTGACGGTCCTCAGTCCTTACTTGTACTTTAATTTATTATCGTAAACCTCCAGCCAATCACCTATACATCCATCCATGAATGCACGCACGCACGCACATACATCCACACCTATATCCACATCATACCCACCTACCCATACACGCAAGCGCGCACACACACACGAAGGAGATGTAAATCCGACCGAGGAACCTCCGTATGGTACACTTTGGGTAATGTTAATGTTGACGTTACTGTAACTTTCAAATTTTATTACTCAAAAAGTACTTAATGAAAAAATACGTTATTATAGTGTTTCAGAAAGCTTTCGAGATAAGCTACAAGAATATAAAATATAAAATATAAAATAGGGGGTTTCATTTAAAAAAATTCAAGATGACTTTGTCCTGACCTTGGCGACTGCACCCACTCAAACTAAAAATATCAATAAATAGATTTTTTTAAACCCTATAACTTTTATCTGAAACACATTTTTCTAAAATGTTTGGTTTCCGAGATATTTCGCTGTCCCGGAACTTTATTGACACTTTGTATATACAGGCTGTTCACGACCACCCGTCCACTCCTTTTATTTTGAAAAAGAGTGACGCTAGGAAATTTGGAAAACATGTTTCTTATAAAAGCTCGTCTGAATTTTCTGATGGTGGTATTTCCATGTTTGGGTAACTTCCGGAAATATTGGAAATTGGAGGCAACTTTAAAATTTTAAATGGCAACATAGGACAACATGGATCGTTGGATAGAACGTATATAAAAGAAACAACTTTTATATGAAACAAAATCTGATATTATTTATCGTTAACGAGAAATAAACAAAAAAATGATTGTAATTTTTATAACGCTCAATCTTCTTATTCATGGTATGGATTATGTCCTAAATATAAACACAAGTCAAACAACACCCAACAACAAAAGAAAATATGCAACAGCAGATTGTAGAAACCTGCCATTCTTTAAATTCTATAGAAGTTCGAAAGATTGTCAACAGCATGAGACACAGGATGGAAAGATGTTTTCATAAAGGTGGCAGACGCTTTGAACATTTTTAATTATTCCCTAGTGTTAGTTTTTTACAATATGTATTTCAATAATTATGAGTTATATTTAGCACACAATCCATAAGATTAAGCATCATAACTGCAAGCGTTTTTTGTTTATTTCACGTTAACGATAAATAATATCAGATTTTGTTCCAAGTAAAAGTGGTTTCTTTTTACATGCTCTATCCAGCAATATACATGTTGCCTTATATTGCCATTTAAAATTTTAAAGTTGCCTCTAATTTCCGGTATTTCCAGAAGTTGCCCAAACATGGAAATAGTAGGTCTGTTCTTTTGTTCTGCACTGCTGCACTGGTGCAATAAGTTAGAGTGAGACAAATATATATTCGTCTCACTCTAACTTATTGTACCAGTACAGCAGTGCAGAGCGAAAGAACAGACCAACTACCATCAGAAACTTCAAACAAGCTTTTATAAGAAACATATTTTCCAAATTTCCTAGCGTCATCTTTCTTCAAAATAAAAAGGGTGATCGAGTGGTCGTGAACACTCTTTATATGTGTGTGTCATATAAAATTATGTATTATAATGGAGTAATTTTGAACAAAAACAGAAACTTATTATTATTAAATTAGTTACATAGAATCTCAATAGAATACCTTGGTAATGATGGTCGACTTTCCTTTTTCCCAAAACTGGTATGTGATTCCACTCTTGTACCGTGACCGAATAGTTGAGGTCCAAAAAGTGCTCCATAACAAGGAACATGACAGTAGGGCACTCCTTTATGCTAATTAAAATTCATACAATAATGTTACAATTTATTATGCAAACTATCTCACATTGAACTATATATTATAAAAATAAAGAAAATAACCAGTATATATTTATTTTGATTAAACATATATATATACATATGTATATACCTCTGCATGCTGTCCAGGATTCAAACGCTTTCCACATTCCTCACATCGCAAACATTCTGGGTGCCAATCATATCCCAATGACTGTTTACGTTCAGCTATAAATTACTGTATTTGTTTATTCAAATTATATTTGTCTAAACTATTTTTGTTCAAAATCACAGAATTAGCAATAGCATATTTATTTTTATCATTACAGTATAAGTATATGTATTTTATGTACAATACATAACAATTTTGCGCACTTGTATGCTATTATAAATAACTGAAATCATACACAATATCAAGCAGTTAAACATTTTTTTACTCAAACTCAATTTTTCATTTGTTCATTCGTTTAATGTAAAGCATAATTTAGCATTTCTCATGTAGTACACAATGTCTTATAATATGTCTTATATTTAAAGTAAATTAACTTTAAATTACTTCTTAGAATAATTAAGTGTTACTTGTCAAAGTAGACACATCACTTGCAATACGAAATGCAAAAACTCACCGAAATAAACGGGTTTGCCGCATTTATGACACTTCCACATGACGATGGACGCTCAATAACCCAATAGACAAAGGGTGCGATTTTCGCGGCAGTCTTAAACCATTTTGTTTATATTAGCAAAGCACTCTCACGGAAAATGACATGCGGGTTAATTAAAGGTTCACAGGAGTAACTCTTTCTCTCTCTCTCTCTCTCTCTGGTTGCAGACCTTTCTCAGTAGCCCTCTCACTATGGCTGCGTTCGGAAACACACTGTGTGCATACTACTAGACGATAGTCGTTGGAGTGAGCGAAATACAATAGTGAGATAAAAAGAGAGGGAGAGTACTCGAGTGATGTTTCCGAACGCAGCATATTTATCTCTGGTAGTTTGTAAATCTGTTCTTTTCCGCTGTACTACTGAACCAGTGCAATAAGTTAAAGAGTGAAATGAATATATACTTCCTCTCGTTCTAACTTATTTCACTAGTTCAGCAGTGCAGCTAAAAAGAACAGACCATGTACTAAAAAGTAGAGGGATTTAAAGGAATAGGTTTGTGGATTCTAGGAATTTTAAGATAAAATTAGGCTGTGTTCGAAAACACACACTGTGTGCACACTACTCGACGATAGCCGTTGGAGTGAGCGAAATATAAAAGTGAGATAAAAAGAGAGGGAGAGTACTCGAGTGACGTTTCCGAACGCAGTCATACTATAGCACTTCTAGTAATAGAATACATCCGGGTGGGAAATCTGAACGCAGCCCATCGACATATAGGCCGGTATTCATAGTCGAATCTTATTTCAAGACTGTCTTAAGTATGCTTAAGATGCGAATACGGCTCTGTGATTGGTTCATGACATCTTAAGACAGTACTTAAGATGATTTTAAATATAAGATCGGACTATGAATACCGGTCTATGGCCGGTATTCATAGTCGAATCTTATTTCAAGACTGTCTTAAGTATGCTTAAGATGCGAATACGGCTCTGTGATTGGTTCATGACATCTTAAGACAGTACTTAAGATGATTTTAAATATAAGATCGGACTATGAATACCGGTCTATGGCCGGTATTCATAGTCGAATCTTATTTCAAGACTGTCTTAAGTATGCTTAAGATGCGAATACGGCTCTGTGATTGGTTCATGACATCTTAAGACAGTACTTAAGATGATTTTAAATATAAGATCGGACTATGAATACCGGTCTATGGCCGGTATTCATAGTCGAATCTTATTTCAAGACTGTCTTAAGTATGCTTAAGATGCGAATACGGCTCTGTGATTGGTTCATGACATCTTAAGACAGTACTTAAGATGATTTTAAATATAAGATCGGACTATGAATACCGGCCATAGACCGGTATTCATAGTCAGATCTTATATTTAAGACCGTCTTAAGTTTATCTTCAGATGATGAACGGATTATTTCATTGACTACGGAGTATCTGAAGGTGAACTTAAGACAGTCTTAAAAATAAGACCCGACTATAAATACCGGCCATAGTACTAGGGGTCGATAATGAATCTTTCACGTGAATCTTATGTGTACTTTTCACTTTTCACATTTTCACAATTTCACTTAGAAAGGTTCACGTAAAATATGACATAATCTTACCATGTAGTAATATATCTGTGAGGGCAAAACATAAGATATGATGTATAAAATATTAAAAAAGTAATATAAAATTATAATTTATATCTATAATATAATTACTAAAATATAATGTATATAAATATAACGGTTAATACAAATATTATCCTTCTAGCGTAGGAAACTGTATAATTTTATGTGAATTTTCAGTTTATGAGAATATTAGTAGAGAGAAACATAAGAACGGCTACCGGCCTGGGTAGCGATCATGAATCTTTTCCCCTAGTGTGAACTCGTGAAAAGTAAAAATTTTGTAATGAACTCGTGAAAGATGAAAACCTTCACTAAACTCGTGAAAAATGAAAGATTTAACGTGAATTTGTATGTAAAACAAATATTACAATATACTCAAGACAACACCAATTTACAATCTTTAGAATTTTTTTAGCATGTTTTTAAGACATCCTTTATAGAAATATCATACTAAGAATCATTGATAATTACTTATTATCCAGTATTTTTAATACTAAAAATAAGAAATTATCAATCCCAGCAAACACAGAACATAACTGTGATATAACACAGGAGTAACATGTAATATAACTGCTGTTATACATTATTAATATGGAGGTTACTTAATTTCCTTTATAACTTCGATATAACTATATTATAAAACTGTTATGTT